GCCATCCCCCCTATCATCACATTTTTTAAATATAAAGTGATTTCTGAATTTATTTTTTTTCGTCAAAACCCAGTTGCAAATACTGTTTGTGTTGTTGCCTGTTCTTCCACGCACTCTTTCGCCCCTCCCCGGCAGACAATAATCCAAACGTAGTTCCTCTGTCCCTAAATGTATCCCTAACCCATCCCATTTCTACCCCCGAGGCCCTGGCCTCCTCCAGGGTCCCCACCTGCAGCCTCCCATCGACTCTCCTTACAACTCCCCTTACAAGAGCCGGCCACTGCCTGTCTCGACCCTTCCGTGACTCCCCAGTGCTCACAGAGGAGCCAAGTGGGTTTCAGGACTTTGAATTTTTCAGATTTCAGAGAGGCAAATGGCAGGTGTAGAGATTGTTACATAACACTTCCCAGGGGGGAGGAAGGAGTGCTCTGTAAACCACATTCATGCATATTTCTGTAATAAATGCAATGACACAATGGGATAAATAAAGTCCATAAATAACCTCAATCAGCTCAGGATGATCATGCAGCCAAGTGAATTTGTGCTAAATCTAGAAAAATGCTCTTGGCTTCCAGAGATGTTTGGACGGAGGGCAGCGCCTTAGCCAGGCAAGCCCTTTCTAGCTGACCCCATCCATGTCCCAGCCCCCGCTTCCACCTCTCCCCCATCAACACAGACGTCTCTCAAATACACGAGGCGCAGCCCCAAGTCTGAACACACTCAGGTCTGTCTTCTCTCCCACAGAGTATGCCTCAAGTTTCCCTTCCAATCCACGGGCCTCAGATCCGACCCTGGCCTCCTGCAGCTCTGAAGACTTCCATGGCTCCTGCTGCCCTAGACTCATTCTCCTACCACTCCCTGCCTCCCACCGTTCCGGGCGGACGCCAGGTTGACCCCAACCTTGGCTCCTCCACTCAGCATGCTCTCTGCCCGTTCAGCCTGGCAAACCCCTTCTCAGCCTTGCAGAGCCCCGCTCACTGGTTTCCCCTTGGGCCTTGCTCCATACTATTTCATCATCGAAGTGAGAAGCCTTCAAAGGCAGGACCTGACACCTGGGTGCCCGGCACTGCGCAGCCCAACCTGGCGCCCAGCAGGGGCTTTAGGGTCTGGCTCAGAATGAATCTAAAAAGGCTCCGATACTCGGTTCTCCCGCCCCCGAGCCCAGCCTGCAGGACCTGTGTGTGCGTGCGTGTGCGTGTCCGTGCACGTGTGTCCACCACATACGTGCAGCGAGGCCTCACCTCCGGGAGGGCAGCCGCCGACGCATGCGGTGACAGTCCAGCACCCACTCCTTACGCACGATTCGGCCTCCGAGGCCTAGAACCTGGCTGTACTTGGGGGTGTTGGCAAAGGCGCAGCTGGGGGGAGCAGAATGGGGAGTGTCAGTCAGCTGTGATCTGAGGGGCACAGGGGAAGAGGGAAGCAAGGGGGACAGAGAGACGGAGGGGAGCTGAGTAAGAGAGAGAGAGATGGAAGGAGGAGAAAAAGACACAGGGAAACCGAGGGAAAGAAGACGAAAGGATCAGAGAGAAAACGAGCTGAAGGGCGTTGGGGGACAGGCAGATGGGGAGAGAGAGAGCAAGCAAGATGGAGATGCCAGACGGAGACGGAGAAGCAGCAGGGAGGTGGGGAGGAGGCACGGGCCTACATGAGGTGGGTGCTGTCCGGAGTCCAGTCGGGCCGATACTTGGCCCCCAGCCCCAGGGCCTTGTCCCGGAGCTCTGAGCGGAAGGGGTTCTGGAAGCCACTCAGCACCACCACCACACCCTCGAGGACCTTCCCCAGCTCCTGCGGGCCGGCTCGGGGTGCCCTGGGTGCAGCGGCTTCTCCTCGGGGTGCCCTGGGCGCAGTGGCTTCTCCTCGGGGTGTCCTGGGGGCAGCGGCTTCTCCTCGGGGCTTCCCTGTCACTGCCCCCTGGGCTGGGGCAGGGAGTGAGGCGGGGCCTGGGGCACGGGAGGGTGCCGGCACTGCGGAAGCCAGAGTAGATTCGGTTGGCACGACTGGAACTAAGCCCCCGGACCTGCTCCCTCAGACCCTCCTCCCTGAGACCCGCACCCCTAGCCCCCAGCCCTCCTCCCTCAGACCTTCCTCCCTGAGGCCCGCACCCCTAGCCCCCGGCCCTGGAACTAAGCCCCCGGACACCTGCTCCCAGACCCTCCTCCCTGAGACCCGCACCCCTAGCCCCTAGCCCTCCTCCCTCAGACCCTCCTCCCTGAGACCCGCACCCCTAGCCCCCGGCCCTCCTCCCTGAGACCTGCACCCCTAGTCCCCCGCCCTCCTCCCTGAGACCTGCATCCCTAGTCCCCCACCCTCCTCCATGAGACCCGCACCCCTAGTCCCCAGCCCTCCTCCCTGAGACCCGCACCCTTAGCCCCTGGCCCTCCTCCCTGAGACCCTCTTCCCTCTGACCCGTACTCCCAGCCCCCAGCCCCTGCTCCTCTAGGACACAGGAGCACAGGCTCCTATGGGAACAAGGAATGCAATTTGCTCACTTTTGGGTCTCTTAGGGGGAGGTGGTGAGGGCTGGGCTAACGCTTTGCTGGGGGTCTTCCTTTCTTCTTGGTTCAAATCCAACCTCCTCTTCCCCTTGGGGGACTCCTGAGGCTGAGGGGCAGGGACATGAGTTGAGGCCTCTGGCTTCTCTTCTCCTCCTCCACCTCATCAAGGCCCCATCTCACCTTGGAGGTGCCGCCTACTGCCCTGGAGGCCGGAGAGGCTGAGGAGACGGCACTAGACGCCTGCAGTGTGGCTGCTGCATAGCTGGGTCCTGCTGGGTCACTGGCTGTGGCTACAGAGGGAGGAAGTGGATCCAGGATGAGGTCTGGGCCATCAGACCCTTTAGCTCCTACTCATGGGACAGAGGGTAGTTCCCAAATGCCAGCAGTGAGTGATCTAGGAGTCAGGGCCCCCAGCCCCTCCTCCCCCGGCCCCAGGAGTCCGGGCCTCGAGGTCCTTTCCTCCTACTCACTCACGACTCCAGTTTCCATACTTACCAGTGGATGTCTTATTGATCCAGTTGAAAAAGAGGGCCCCCGGTCTCAGGGAGCTGCCACCTTCATCCTCCTCCTTCACACGGAACTGGCCGAGCTTGGTCACCTTCTAAGGTCCCCAAAAGTCAGTGCGGTGCGTGGGCTGTTGGAGGGTGGGGGTGAAAAGGCAGAGGGAGGGCTCTTGGGGATGGCGGGTAGAGCTTACCTGGGGGGAGGCCTCTGCTTCGTCTTTGTCTGGGGGGCTGTAAAACCGTACAAAACTCAGGCCATAGGGGGAGTCCTGGGAAAGGAGGAGTGGGGGTCAGGGAGTCTGGCCAAGGATCAAAGCCTGACCCCAAGCCCCTTTCACTCAGGGAAACCCCTCTCTGGCTCCTTCCCTCGTCTAGGGAGGTGCCCAGATGATAACACAGGCAGCAACAGCAGCGAGCTGTCATGGGACCCTAACTCCAGGTCCGCCAGGCTCTAAGTCCTTTACATGCTTCAGCCCCTTCAGCCTCATCGCAACTGGCAGAGGCTGCTGGGAGTCCAAGCACATCCAAGCCCGAATACCCAAATTCTCGCCTGTGGAAGGGGACGGAGCGCTGTGTGCCGCTTCGGGAACACGGAAATGCTCCAAGCTCTTCCCCGCTCTGCCAGCTGGGTGCAGAGCCTTAAGATGGGAGGAGCCTGTGTCCCTGGACAACCAGCCGAACACCCCTCGGGGCAGTTCCACAGGTAAGGACACCTCTACTGTGTGATGTCATTACCACTGGGTCTCGTTACCACAGCTTTGCCTCCTAACACACAGTAACCCTACGAGGATCAGGAAACTGAAGCCGGAAAGGTGAAGTCACTTGCCCAAGTCACACAGCTAAGGAGCGGTGTGGCCAGGTTTTGAACCCAGCGTCTGACTCCATTCTCTTGGTGCTGACTGACAGGGCCCCTCTCCTAGACCACCTCCCTAACAAGTCAGCCGCCCCTCCCCCAGCCCCCTGTGAGGTCCTGGGGTGCAGTCCCAGACTCCCTCCAGGAAACAGCCTCACAGGAGAGGAGGCTCTCAAATCCATTTCCCAGCCTCCTCATAGTCCCATGGGGACACCAGCTGTCCAGCCCCCTGAGCCCTCTGCGAGTCCACGTTGGCCCCTCAGCTCTCTCCTCATCCAGGACCAAGGACCCGCCTCCCCAGCTCCCAGCTCGGGTACCTTGCTGTAGGGCTGGCTGCAAACAATTTTGACGCGGTCCCAGCGCTTCTCAGCTGCTCCCCGGACCAACTTGTCAGGCCCAAAAATGCGAACATGGTTGGGGTTTGAGCCACTGCGGCTCTCAGAAGGGGACATGAAAGACGAGGTAACCAGAAGGACCTGGGAGAAGGCACATAAATGTCAACCAGGACTGGTTAAATGACACATCCTAGGGGCTGGGCAGAGGGCAGGAGGCCCAAGTAGGCTAGGAGTCACCAGATCCAGTCCACGTCTGCCTCCAGGTCTCTAGACCTAGAGAGTATTATGCTACGTGAAATAAGTCAGAGACAGACAAATGCCATCTGATCTCATTTATATGTGGAATCTAAAGAACAAAATAAATGAACAAACAAAACGGACAACCTTCAAGATACAGAACAAACTGATGGTTGCCAGACGGGAGAGGGGTTGGGGAACTGGGTGAAAAAGGTGAAGGGATTAAGGAGTCCAAATTGGTGGTTACAGTATAGTCACAGGGATGTAAAGTACAGCATAGGGGATGTCATCAATAATACTGTAGTAACTATGTATAGTGCCAGGTGGATACTGGACTGATGGGGGGAAATCGCTTAGTAAAATATATAAATGTCTAACCACTATGCTGTACACCTAAAACTCATATAATATAATGTTAGATGTCGACTATAATTGAAAAAGAAAAAAAATTAAGAAGAGAAATAGAGGATGGAAGAGAGCTATTTTCTGCCCTTCCACTTTCTCCAGTTCCTGCTTTGGATGCTACTAGGTGATGGATGGAGCAGCAGCAATCATCTTGTAGCCACGAGGGCAAGTCCAAAAGACTTGAGAGGGGCCAACCAAGCATCCTGACTGTTAAGCTTCTAGATGAATTCTGGGTCTGCCTAATGCTGGACTTTCCTCCTGAGGAAACAATAAATCGTCTTACGCAGTAAGCCAACTTTAGTTGGGTATATCCTGTTACTTACTCAGTTTCTTTCTAAATCACGTGCTGTGAAATTTTCAAAATCAGAAAAAAGCCTTTTGCTGAGAAAAACACAGACTATAACTATATGTCTTTTTGTGTTCAGCTCTGCTTATGAAAAGGAAACGACAAAGAAAATTATACAGAAGGGAAGCCATCTCCCCGGCCTTGACCATGATGGTTTATAAAAGGCCTGATTTTGAGCTGACAGGGGAGCTGAACTTATCCTCTGACTAAAAATGAAGGGGCAATGCAACCTGTGCTTGGCAGCGGCTACCTACACTGAGAGGCTGACTTCCTCTGCCTATACTTTCCTCCCATTCACTGTAAAGAGAAAACCACCCCAGTTATCACAGTTTTTATTATCCAACACCATCTCTAAGGTTCCAGGATCAAACCTTTACTCTCTAGACTGTGTTAACCTCAAAAGCTCATGAATCGCTTTTGCAGAATTTGAAGGGGAAAAAAAAGAACCTGCGGATTTTGTAGAAAATGGTGTCAGCTATTATAACATGCACCTTACACTTGATTTGTGCGGCAGGGCCGCGAATGATGTCTCGATAATGGTGAAGAGACGCCTTAGGAACTCAGCTCTAGCTGATATCACTTAGCCTGTGGTAAACTGGTTTCTTTATAATGTCACTTCACTTAAAGCTGCGGAACACACGGACTGTGTTAAATGAGGGCTTACTGTACAGGTGACATCAACGTTGATCCACTCTGCTCTGTCCTTTTTCCTTTTCTTTCTTGGCTCTTCCAGCCCTACCCAGTCTCTGGGTGGAAGCCAAGCATTATAAGCTCCAGAGTCTTTAATTCAGCCTTGGCTAAAAGTTATAACGAAAATCCGAGACTCCAGAGGAAGTTTAACTAAAAACTTCGAAAGAATGAGAGACTGCTGACATAGGCATTTTCGGACTTTGAAAGGATAAAGCTAGCCATTCCATCTTTCAAGATAGATAAGAGAGTGAATAATAAACATTCCCCTATTAGAGGTGATAAAATTTTAGCTAAAAACAAACTTATTCTGTTTTCAATAGTATAAAATAGAATTTTTATCTAAATCTATTTGCCACAAAAAAACAGAGAACTTTTTTTTTAATAGTCCTCGAAACTGCTGACTTTGTTAAAACAGTTAAACGAGGAGGCTATTAGGTTGGGTGGGGTGACTCTAGTGCCTTAAGTAGCCTACGTAAACAAACTACAATCTAAGCCAGAGCCAGTGCACTCAAATCTCAGAAAATAAAATGCAAGAACTAATCATAAACAGCCAATTAAATTTCTTGAATCTGAGAAAATGAAATTCAAGAACAACTATCATAACAGCCAAATAACTAGATTTTTCCCACATAATGCAACTGTTTAAGCTACAGCCAATTAAATAATTTCTTTGATTTCTATGTCTTCTCTATAAAAACCTTTGCCCTAGGCCACCCACAGAGCGCCCCTAATCATTTCCAGTTTTGGCGGCCTGACTTCAAATCATTTGCTGAAATCAACTCTTCAAAATTTAATGGGCCTCAGTTTACTTTTTTTACAACTTATATAACCTTGAGAATAAGAATGTTCGTTAAAGGAAAGCTTCACTTGTTAAAATGTACTTTGTAGAGCAGAAAAAGCACTTGATAAAATTCAACACGCTCATGAAAAAAAGCTCTCACCAAAGTCGTTTTACGTCCTACTTTTGTACGTCTTCAACCTGACGAAGAATATTTATAAATAAATCTATAGCTGACAGAGTTAACGGTGACAGACTCAACACTTTCCTCCTAAGATCAGAAACAAGACCAGGACGTCTGGTCTCACCCCTTCTATTCGACATTGTATCAGAGATACTAGTCAGTGGAAAAGGATGAGAAGAAGAAAAATAATTGGAAAGGAGCAAAACTGTATTTACGGCAATATGACTATCTATGTAGAAAGATCCCAAGGGATTTTCCTACAAGAATTAATAAGAGAATTTAGCAAGGGCACAAGACACAAGGTCAACATACAAAACTCAGTTGTATTTTTTATGCTATCAACAAATGGAAAATAAAAAATTTTAAATATATTAAAATAGCATCAATAATTTAGGCAAGAAGCAATGATAGATGCTAAAATTAGTGAGTGCGAGTTCAAGACGTAACAATATATTTACATACTCTTAAAAGTACTTCCCTACCCGGTACCTATTAATTACAAAGGGCAAAACAGAAATATTACAGCGGAGAAACCTGGACTATACGACCTTAACCAAACACTCCGAGCGAACATCATCAGTAATGAAGCGTCAACAGTATGTGCCTTGTGATCTGACGCACTGAGAACAATACAAAGTCACCTCTGTGGTTTTCTGGCCCAAAGCGTATAACCTAAATTTAATCATGAAGAAACATCGGACATTTTTGAACAATGAGTGATGTTTTTAAAAATTCCCCTGACTTCTACTCTTCAAAAATGTCACTGGCATGAAATACAAAGATAGTCGCGGGAACAATCAATGCAATGCATGATTCTGACTTTTGCTATAAAGGACATTATTGGGACAATGACGGAAACCCAAATAAAGTCTGCGGTCAGATGGTAGAGTACTAGATCAGTGATAATTTCCTAATTTTGATAACTGTACTGAAATTAAGTAAGAAAATGTTTTTGGTTTTAGGAAATATTCATCAGAGTGGGATAAGGGGATAAAGGGACATCATATGCACAGTAGCCCCCCCTTATCTGCGGGGACTACGTTCCAAGACCCCCAGTGGATGCCTGAAACTTTAGAGAGTACCTTAGACAAAGTTAGAGATTAACAATGATAACAAATAATAAAATAGAGCGTTATAACAATATGCTGTGATAAAAGTTATGTGAATGGCTTTGGGGCCATTATTAAGTAAAATAAGTTACTTGAATGCAACTCCGCGATACTGTGACAATCTGATAACCAAGAGCCCTAAGTGACTAACAGGCAGGTAATATATTCAGTATGGAGACGATGGACAAAGGGATGATTCATGTCCCGGCAAGACAGCATGAGATTTCATCCAGCTACTCAAAATGGCCCGCGATTTAAAACTTATAAATTATTTGAAATTTTTCCACTTAATATTTTCAGACAGCAGTTAATCGTGGGTAACTGAACCCTTGAAAAGTGAAATCAAGGATAAGGGGTGACTACTGTACGTATGTGTTGATGTTTGGAGAGTCTGAGTGAAGAGTATATGGGAATCCTTTGTACCACTTTTGCAACTTTTCTGAAGGTCTGAAAGTTACTGACACGCTGGTTTTATAACTTATACGGAAATAAATGCAAAGGATCTAGGATCGCTAAGATAATCTTCAAGACTAAAGCTGGAGGTCCAATACAATCTGCTTTAAATATTCACTATCAAGACGGTGAGGTGTGGTGTTGGAATACAGACAGACATGCATATCAATGGGACAGAACAGAAAGGGCTGGGAGGAATCTACACATATATGGTCAATCGACAAAAGAGTCAAAACAACGCAATGGGAAAAGGAAAGTCTTTTTTTAAAAAAGTATTTTCAACAAATATATAAAAAATAAACGGAAAAAATCGGAACTCGTCCCCTACTTCACATAACATACAAAAATTCATTTGCAATGGATCAGAGAGCTCAGCTAAAAATATAAAGCTTCTAGAAGAAAACACAGGAGACGGCAGAAGGCAGAATAACAGCCCCAGAGATGCCCACATTCTAAGCCCTAGAATTTGTGAATATGGCAAAAGGGACTTTGCAGATGCAATTAAGTTAAGAGTCTTGAAATAGGGAGATTACCCAATCCAGGGAGAGACCCTGGAGTATCCAGGTGGGTCCGGAGTAATTATAAGAGAGTCTTTATAAGAAAGAGGAGGCGGGGTGACAGGGCCGGATGAGGAAGACGGAGTAACGTGATCACAGGCTGTGAAGATGAAGGGGCCACAAGCCGAGAAATGCAGGTGGCCTCTGGAAGCAGGAAGAGGTCAGGACGTGGATCCTCCTCTGGAGCCTCCAGAAAGAATGCAGCCCTGCCATCAACTTGATTTTAGCCCTGTGAGAGTGATTTTAGACTTCTGGCCCCCAGAACTGTAAGATGATAAATTCATGTTTTTTTAAGCCACTGAGTTTGTGGTAATGTTATAGCAGCAATAGGAAACTAATACAGGGACTATCATCATGACTTTGGGACAGACGAATATCTTTTACAGGACACAAAAGGTACTAAGCATTAAAAAACAAAAAACAACCTGAGAGACTGCACTTCATCAGCTTCTGCTCATCGAGAGGCACTGTTCGGATAATGAAAAGGCAAGTCACAGACTGGGGGGAAAATCTACACTACACATATCTGGAAAAAGAGACTCTGAAAAAGGACGTGGTTAACACCCATGGCAAAAAGACAAACAACCTAATAAAAAATAAGCAAAAGACTCGAATAGACATAAATGAATGGCTAACAAGTACATGAAAGGTTATACAGTGTCATAACTTGCTGGGAAAATGCACATTAAAGCCATAATAAAATACCACAGCATGCCATCTGAATGACTGAAATTTAAAAAATTAACAAGACTATTATCAAGTATAGGTAAAGATGTGAAGCAATGAGAACACTCACACGCTGCTGAAGGGAAGAGAAAATGGTACAACCACGGTGGAAAACTGTCAATTTCTAATAAGGCCAATAAAATATATATCTCCCTAAGACCTTACAATTCCACTCTTAGGTATTTACCCAAAAGAAATCTCCATATGGAAGCCTGTCTAAGAATGTTCCAGCAGCTTTATTCATAATAGTCAAAAAGTGGCCACAGCCCAGGTGCCCATCCACAGGAGAATGGAAAACCAAACTGAGCTGTGCTTACAGCTGAACGCGACTCAGCAATAAGGTGAACTGGACCACAGGAACGGTGACAGCACGGATATCAAAGACAGGACGCTGAGTGAAAAAAGCCAGCCATAAAAAGGGACATACTGTGAGATTCCATTTACATGACATTCAGGGACAGGCAAGACTCATCTATAATGACAGAAAGGAAATTGGAGGTTGCCAGAGCTGGAGAGGGGGAGTGACCGCAAAGGGAGAGGAGAGGACTTTCAAGGATGCTCTATGTCTTGATTTGGGGGACAGTCGCACAGGTGCATACATTCGTCAGAGACTCTTTGACCTATCTATTAAGATCTGTGCATTTTATTGTATGTAAAATATACCTGAATTAAAAACAATTGTCACGACAAGCAAAACAACGTATCTCATAGAAAACTGGCTTGTTCACTTAAAATTGTAAACTCTTTGTCACAGTAGGTTTATTTCTACCCAAAGATATTTCATTGATTAACTAGATGGCTAATTATGATCTCACCAATCCAGATCGAATTAACTCAACCAGTAAAAAAGTGGGTTGTGCCAACTTTTTAAGTATTTGTGATAGAGCAAAAGGCATTCCTTCTTATAAACATTTGTTGAAAATACAGTGACTAACAGAAGCATCCACACAACGCCGAATCTCAACTTGCCAAGACGTGTGAGAGTGGTTTTGCTCTCAAGCAGTGAGTCTTAGAACGTGTGCCCTGGTTGTTTATGCAGCCACAAGGCAAACTCGGTCTCTATCCGCCGTGCACGGTTTGTCACCCATCTCCTCCATACACTGGGCTCCTCCGGAGGGCAGCAGTCACTGTGACACATCTCCACCCCACCCTGGCACCCAGGAGGCCCCGGGGGAAGTGGACGTGGGGCATCTGGGGCAAGGCTCACCTCATAGTCTTGCTCCCCGGCCCCTCCGGCCGACCTGCCCACCAGCACCTCCACGAAGGCCGAGCCGTCGTTCCCGATGTCCACTCTGTGTATCTGCTCCTCCTTCTCCAACTGCGGAGAGAAAGCCCACTGTCAGCGCCTGCTCCGCCCCGGGGCTCCTTGTGGGACTTAGGGGGTGGGAGGAATCCCATCTGAGCCACCATGTCTCCTTGCAATGGCAACTCTGTGACAGCGGGGACCACAGCCGAGTGGTGCCACTAGGTCACCTGCATGTTGCACAGGGCGTGGCACAGAGTCGGAGCTCAGAAAATATTCTCTGAATGCATAAAGCCCCACACTTGCTTCCCCGACTCCTGTTGACTCTGCCATGCAGCCCTCTTTGGTAGCACCTGCCAGAGTATCCGCCTCCATCACGCAGGACTCCATGGAAGTTCCCTGAGGGGAACAGAGGCCCAGTCTGGTTCTGCTCACCACTGCTTCCTGGGTTTGAATCCCAGCTCTGCTACACACTAGCTACATGGCCTCTAATCTTTTGGAGCCTCGGTCTCCTCATCTGTAAAAGGGGCTTGATCACCATACCTAGGATTATGCCCATCCATACCATGGCCACAGGCCTGGCATATAATAGGCACTCTACTGCTGTCAGGCAGGAGGCATTATTAGTCGATGCTCGATAACTATTTGTTAAAAGAAGAAAAGAGCATTCTGTAGGAAGGCTTCCTCCAAAGGACCTGCCATCTCTTCTGACAGGTGAGGGCGTAGAACAGCACGTGGGGGTGGCAGGCAGTTAGGCATGGCTGCAGCAAGTCTCCTGCTTTCTAGCTTGGGACTCCTCTATTTGGATCCTGGAATGACAAGTTATTCCGACCCTCAGAGAGACCTAGTCCACCACCCTACCCTGCCCCTGCCCTGGAACCATCTGATGCTCTGATCTGCCCTATCACCTCCAGGTCAGGAGGCTGCCCCGACGTCGCCTGCATGCAGCTACACACAGGAGCATCCCCACAAAGGAGCTGGACTTGGGGTGAGGCAAGCCAGGGTTCAAGTCCAGCGCCACCATTTCCAAGTGTGCAACGCTGGGTGACGTACAGCCTCTCTGAGTGACAGCTTCCTCACGTGTGAAAGGGGAGGGTTGTCATAATAACCCTCCCTCCGAAGGGAGTTGAGATGACACAGGTAATAACAACCATAACAGCTGCAGTGAACATCTGAGTGCATGCCTCCTGCATGCCTCCTCTCTCTTCGCAGCGGCTCTGCGAGGCAGTGGCTATTATTATCTCCATTTTACACGCGAGCAAACGGAGGCAGGAAGTGGTTATGTAACTTCCCTAAGGTCGCACAGCTGGTGAGCGGCAGAGCTGGGACCCGAGCCCAGGCAGGCTGGCTGGAGTCCACCGCGCTCCTCCGCCACCTCGCGGCGTGCTGGAGGGGGCGGCGCCGAGGGGAGGGCCTTCCCAAGGCCGAGCTGAGCGGGCCTCCTGGCAATTGTGTCTGCCTCCGCCGCGGCTCCCAGCTCGGAGCCCTGCACCGGCAGCTGCCCAGGTGCACGACAAGTCCCAGTTTGACTCCTCGGCTTCCTGTCACATTTGATGGCTCTCCTTCAGCCACTCCGGCCTTCCTTCTGTCTTCTGTCCTGAGAGCAGGCCGGCTCCTTCCCACCTCAGAGCCTTTGCACCTGTGATCTGCCAGCCTAGACCACCCCTCCTCCAACCCTCCCATGGCTGGCTCCTTCCACCCTTCAGGTCTCTGCTCAGATGTCACCTCTTCAAACCAACCAAAGTAGCCTCCCTCACCTCCTACCAGGTGAAGTGCTACTCCATATCCTGTAATCCTACTTTATTTTTCTTGTCGCCACTTGATATTATAAAGTTACATTTTTGTTTGTATTTGTCTAGCATCGATCTCCTCAGCCAGACTTTTAAGCTCCCTGAGGGCAGGGGCAAAACCTGAGTCATTCCCTACTGTGTCCCCAACACCAAGAACAGTATCTGGTCCTTCTCGGCTCTGCTTTCTTACTACTGTGTGATCTTGGAGCATATGGTTTCATTTGACCCCTTGGGTTTCAGTTTACTAACCTGTAAAATGGAGACAGTAACAACTTCTACCTCACAGTGTTGTGGAGTCAAACAAGGAATACACACAAGGCCCCTTGAATAGTGCCTGCCACAGAGCAAACACTCCGTGTCAGCTGACACTATTATCAGGAGGTCACCAACACATTCCTGATGGATGGATGGATGGATGGATGGATGGGTGCATGGGTAGATGGATGGAAGGATGGATGGATGGATGGATGGAAGGACAGATGGACAGGAAGACCACAATGATCATTTGCTGAAGGAACAAAGGCCCTGAGTTATATAACTCTGAGTCTGCCCTTCCTGTCCAAGTGGCTTTGGTGAGCCACCTGCCTCAGTGTCCCCATCGGTCACAAAAGAATCATCATGGCTGACATTTTCAGATTCTCACTGTGTGCTAAGTACTTGGTATATTAGTGTCCTACTGATGCTGTAACCAATTACCACAAACTTCCTAGCTAAAAATAACACATCTAACAGACTAGAGGTCAGAAGTCTGAAATCTGTTCTCTCTGCACTAAAACCGAGGGTCAGCAGGGCTGCATTCCTTCTGAAGGTTCCAGGGGAGAATCGGTTTCCTTGCCACGTTCCCAGCTCTAGAGGCCACTGCGTTCCTTGGCTTGTAGCCTCTTCCTCTGTCTTCGAAGCCAGCAATGGTATCAGGCAAACCTCTGCCTCCGTCTTCATATCTCTCTCTCTCACTGTGGTTCTTTCTCTTGCCTCCTTCTTTCCCTCATAAGGAAACCTAGGATTACATCGCCTCCCCCAAATAACCTAGGCTAATCTCACCATCTCCAGATCCTTAACTTCATCACAGGTGCAGAGTCCCTTCTGCCACATAAAGAGACACATTCACAGCTTCTGGGGATTCGGATGTGGACAACTTTTAGGCCATTACTCTGCCTACCGCAGCCGGTGAAGTTCCGTCTGGGCCAGGCACCACTGAATCCTCACAACCATCTCAGGAGGGAGGGTCTGTTACAGATGGGGAAACTGAGGCTCAAACAGGTCAAATATATAGCTCACATGTCACTGCTAATAACTGGACCCGAATGCCTGACTATAAACCAATACTCTTTCTCAACTCCCCTATTTCAATCCTTGAGGTAAAAACTCAACATCTCTACCTCGCCCACAATATGAAGCACAGGGCCCCATGACTAGTAGAATGTATGTATTTGTATTTTAAATGAATGATTCTCATTGAATATATAACTACTTGTGTTTTAAACACACATATACTTTCTTGAATTTCTTCTTTTTGATAAACGAAAACTTTCTTATAAAAGTATTTATAGGTGAAAACAACCCAAATGTCCATCAATTTATTAATGAATACGCATTGCATGGTACATCCATACAATGGAATATTATTCAGCTATAAGGAGGAGTGACGCACTGATCCATGCTACGTGGAGGAACCTCAAAAACATTATGCTAAGTGAATGAAGCCAGACATAAAAAGCCACATATTATATGACCTCATTTATATGAAATGTCTCGAATAGGTAAGTCCATAGACAAAAAGTCAGTCAGTGGTTGCCAGGGCAACCTGGGTGCAGGGAATAGAGCGACTGCTTAATCATTATGTTATTTCTTTTGGGGGGGTGATAAAAATGTCCTGAATTAGGTAGTGATGATGGCTGCAGAAAACTTGTCAATATACTAAAAACCACTGGATTGTACACTGAGTTAAATGGTTAAATGGTGAATTAAATGTTTAAAATGGAGACTTGAACGTTATGTGAATTTTATCTCAGAAAAGGAGTATTCTGTTAAGTGTCAGCTGTCAGGAGAAGGCCTTAAGCACAAGATGACTGTCATCAGTGGCCTGCATTTGTGTGTACCCTTCTCAGAGAGACATAATTCATGACAGCGAAACAAATGAGACATGGAAGGTTTGCAGAGCTCCTGAGAGACATCTTGTCAAACAACTGTTCCACATCCATGAAAGGTGATGTCGCCTACCACTTAAAAGAATAAGGGAGAATTTTATGCAATGACAATAGATCTCCAAGATGTTTTATTTGGAAAAAAGCAAGGGGAGAATAGTATATACATTATGTACTTTTAAAAAGAGATGGAGGAGTGGATGTACATGCTCATATGTGCACAGTGATGCAGGACGGCCGCACGAGAAGCGGCTATTGGTGGTGGCGTCAGGGGACAACTGGGTAGCAGGAGTCAGGGGAGGGAGGAGGGGAAATGGAAGCGGGTGGGGAAGGGGACTTGCTCGGTCGGTGTATGCTCTTTCATGCCTTTTGAATTCTGTACCATATGCATATAATACCCATTCAGAAAGTAAGCAAAACCACAGTGGTTGCCTCCAACAGCGGAATACTATACAGAAGGGAGAATGATCCAACCTTAGCTACACCCAGCCAACGAGGATGAAACACACGTAGTGTGCAGTGAGAACAGCCAGACACAAAAGTATATACTGTGTGATTCCATTTATACGAAATTCAAAATCAGGCAAAATGAATTAATGGTGTTAAAACTCAGGACCGTGTTACCCTTGTGCGGGTTGGTGACAGGAAGGAGCACAAGGGAGCACGTGGTGGGGGGGACACTGGACATGTCCTCTTACTTGATCTGGGTGTGGTGCACACAGGTTGTAGTCTGTGAGGATTCACAGAACTGTGCGCTTTGCTGCACACGTTACACAGCAAAAGAAGGTAAAAACCAACTTGGCCACCGAGTGATTAGAAAAACAATAAAAAACAAAAAAGAAACCCGAGCCACCTTGCTGTTGGACATTTCTTCTAAGAACGCACCTCCAGTGGGGCGCTGGAGTTCCACCTGGACTGTGTCCCAGCCATCACCTCTGGCCTACAAGTTAGCAAAGAGGTGGGAACTCCCCTCGTGGGAGCAGGTGACAAGTTGGAGATAGAGCTTCCTGAGGCCCGGCAAACAAAAAAGGGGTGTGGGCTGTCATGAGCAGAGGGCTGAACCCAGTGTGGTAATATCTAGATATTGCATAATATTGTTGAGAGGAAAAAAATACAGAGTCGTGGAAAAACACAGATTAGTCTACGAGTCTTGGTGTCCAGCAACTTCTGCATCATCGCTTGCTTGAAGAGAACCAAAGTCAGCATTCAGTAAATGTAGAGTTATCCTGCATATTGGCAGTCGGATTTTCCAGAAGGTCTCTGACCTACGATAACTTAACCACTGCAATGCTTCTTGCTTCTGCAGTTGCCCCCTGCACTCTATTCTCGAATAGAAACCAGGATTCTATGAGAACCTGTCAGATTGTTCTCCTCCTCGGCTCAGAGTCTTTCTGTCTCACCCAGAGTAAAAGCTTAAGTCCTTACGATGGCTTTCTGGCCTTAAGTGTGTTGGGGCCCTCCACCCCCACCCCATTAGCTCATCTCCGACCTCTCTCCCCCTGGCTAACTCCACCCGACTCACACTGGCCTCCTCGCCGTTCCCCCAACACTCTAGGCACCCACCAGCCCACCTAGGAGCCTGTGCTTCTTCCCCAGATATCCGCATAGCTCAAGTGTCAGCTTCTCAGGGAGGCCTTCTCTGACTCCCTACTTAAATAAAAACCTCTCGCCACTGCCGCCTTCCCCAGCTGACGCATTCTCCATTCCTCTTAACTGTTCCCTTTTTCTCCACAGCCCTCATCAGCTGACCTGTGTTTTACTTTTGACTTTCTCCACTAACATGAAAGCTCCACAGGACTGACATGTTTGTCTTTGCTGTCCACTGCTATACAGCCCCAATATCTAAAACAGCTTGGCCTAGTCTACGGCCATGCCACCCTGAACACGCCCGATCTTGTCTGATCTCGAAAGCTAA